ATTACACAATGCAACAAATTGCAAGGTCATAAAAACTTTTTTTGAAAATGTAGGCGTTCTTTATGTATTTCGACCTCCTGAATTCGAAAATGGTACTCAAAACATCGTATCACCCACAGTTTTTGCACAAATCGCATATTGCAATAATGATAATATACACGAAAACACTTCAATGCCTCAATACCTCAATACCTGTCAGCCATTCTGTGCACCTGAAGGAAACATATGACAACATTAAGGCACTTCTTAATACCATTCATTATGAGGATCACAACTGGATGGTGTGTGGTGATTTCAAAGTGTTGAGTATGCTTCTAGGACAACAATCAGGATATACCAAGTTCCCCTGTTTCATCTGTGAATGGAACAGTCAAGCTCGTGACAAACATTGGGAGCAAAAGCAGTGGCCTCGAAGGTTGGAATTGGTTCCAGGGGACAAAAATATTAAGTGTGACCCTCTAGTGGAAAGAGACAGAATACTCTTGCCACCTCTGCACATCAAATTGGGCATAATGAAGCAGTTTGTCAAAGCATTAAATAAGTGTGGCAACTGTTTCAAATATCTATGTTACAAGTTTCCCAACCTGTCAGATGCTAAGTTGAAAAAGGGCGTGTTCACTGGTCCCAATATTCGGAAAGTAATAAAAGATGAAGATTTTCTTCATTCAATGAATGCCGTGGAGAGAGAAGCCTGGACTGCCTTTAAGTGTGTGGTTCAAAACTTTCTGGTAAACAATCGTAGCTAAAAATATATTGACATAGTTGAGAACATGCTGATGAAATTCAAAATACTCGAATGCTCAATGAGTTTGAAGTTACATTTTTTAAATTCGCACCTTGACTTTTTTCCTCCAAACCTGGGTGCTGTAAGTGAGGAACAGGGTGAAAGATTCCATCAGGATATCAAGGACATGGAACGACGATACTAAGGAACTTGGGATGTTCGGATGATGGGCGACTACTGCTGGATGCTTCACCGTGAGCACATAACGGAAATTCGCCATAAGAGGAAAGAAAAGCAGGGGCCACGCCATGACAACTAAGAAAGCACGCAATGAGTGATATTAGTGCATGTTTTGTACCACATTCTCTGTATGCATCTGTTCACTGTGTATATATTTCAATATGTTGTTGTTTTAAACTTATATTCTACTTCTGCATGATTCGTGTGCCATATACATGTACTACTATATATGATATCATTATTGGCAAAATATGCGATTTGTGCAAAAACTGTGGGTAATACGATGTTTTGAGTATCATTTTCAAATTCAGGAAGTCTAAATACATAAAGAACGCCTACATTTTCAAGAAATGTTTTTTCACTGTTGCATTGTGTTATTAACACATTTTAAAATTAATCAATCTTATTTCTAAAATTTTCACATAACTTCAAATGTAATATTTAAAAATCAAAAGAATTTTTGAAATCATTTTATAGGTCATTTGTATCTTAGTATTTAGATTAAAATACATAAAAATCAAATACTCTTTGCTCTAATTGCACTGTATTAATGTATAATAAATTAAATTATAATAAACAGCTTGATATAAAAAGAAAACCTTCTCTAGAAGAAAATCATCATAATCTGCACTATAAATGTAATATGATTATGAATGTACGAGGGCCGTTCGAAAAGTTTACGGCCTTGCCTATATGCGGCACTGCAATCAATTTAATTTTTGGTGGGAATAATTCAGCCATCTTTGCTAGAGATATGATACCAATTTCCACTTGATTTGTCAAAGTTTTGCCACGACAGCTTAGCAGATAGTCAGTGTGCACATGCTTTGTCAAAAATGGAGAAGACAGAGACTTGTGCGGTCATAAAATACCTGATGAAAAAAGGGTTGACCCCATCTCAAATCAAAGCTGACATGGATGAAGTTTTGGGAGAGTCTGCTCCTTCATACACCACTGTGAAAAAATGGAAGCCCTTTTTAAATCTGGCAGAGAGTGTGTGGAAGACGACCCTCGCAGCGGATGGCCGTCAACTGCTGTCACTGAAGAAAATATCAACAAAGTTCATGATTTGGTATTAGCAGATTGCCATTTGAAAACGCGTGAGATAGATGAGACAACAGGCATCTCTGTCGACTGAGTGCACCACATCTTAACCGAAAATTTGGGTATGACAAAGGTCTCAGCAAGGTGGTGCCGCGTCTGCTGACCGCTGAGCAAAAACATGTTCGTACTTTGATGTCAAAGGAGTGTTTGGACTTCTACCAGAAAAACCCACAGGATTTCTTGCGTCGGTTTGTGACTACTGACGAAACGTGGATCCATTACTACACTCCTGAAACAAAAGAACAGCCGAAGCAATGGAAACACCACAGTTCGCCACCACCAAAGAAGGCAAAGACAGTTCCATCAGTGGAGAAAGTGATGGCCTCGGTTTTTTGGGATGCTAAAGGCATCATCTTTATTGACTACCTAGAAAGAGGAAAGACCATTAATGCTGTCTATTACTGTGAACTTTTGGAAAAACTGAAGAAAAAAAATCAAAGAAAAGAGGCCACACTTGAAGAAGAAAAAGTTCTGTTCCACCATGATAATGCACTTGCACATTCCACCAGAATCACTGAACAAAAGATAAACGAACTTCGCTTCCAATTAGTTCCACATCCACTGTACTCACCTGATTTGGCCCCCAGTGACTTCCACCTTTTTCCAAACCTAAAAAAATTCTTGGCTGGAAAAAGATTCCACTCAAATGACGAAGTCATCTCTGAAGTGAACGAGTATTTTGCACACCTTGACAAATCGACCTAATGTGATGGCATAAAAAAGCTAGAACATCGCTGGAATAAGTGCATTGCTAACAAAGGAGACTACATTGAAAAATAAAAAAAGTTTTAACATTATTTTGTTTGTTGTTCTATTTGAGGCCGCGAACTTTTCGAACAGCCCTCGTACAGTATATATAAATTGTATATATTATCAGTAATTCTATTGCTTATATTTCATGAATGCTACAAATTTATAAATTTGTTATTTCTCGGAATCATTTGACCAAATAACTTCAGTTACATACAGGGTTCCAACTCAAATTTTTTGTTTTAAACTCCATGACTTATCCTGACCAACTCCACACAAATTCTTGGCCCCCCCATATCCCTTAAAGTATTGTACATTGACATAATAAAGCAGCATTTTACTGCCTATGCACATCTACTATTCCTTTGCCAGGTATTTAATTAGTTACTTTTTTCTAATTAACAATTTTATATTTTTATGATCACTAATTATTAAAATTAAAATGCTTTATTAAAGAAAGATAATTTATCCCGTTATTAATTCACAACTGTTAAATTATATGGCTCCAAAAGAAAAGGGAAAAAAAGCCATTATTTATTTATTTATTATTCATTAACAAATCTGGTAATTGTTATCAAACTACAAATATATTTAATTTCTTCCTTAATAAATTTTCCAATTTTTTAAAGTATTAACAAACAGGAAAAAAAAATCTCCCTCTCTCTTTTTTGTTTTATCAATTCATTAACATCTTTCCTCAAACTGAGGATATAAATGGTAATCCTGAGGGTTTCCAGAAAGTTTAAAATATTTTATCTATGTTAGATTATTAGAGTATTTCAGATTTTTCCCAAATTCATAATATTGCATTTTTAAAATCTCAAAATCTTTTAAAATTCAAAAATAACAACTGATACTGTCATATTATACATTAGGGATTTAGTTTGATCTCTTACCATCTTCCATATTGCATTTTACAATAATTCTTCACATAAATAATTAATATTAGTTGTAAAATTGATCTACAACTGTCCTTCATTGGCTCAATCTTTTCCTCCTGGGTTATGTATGTTCTGTTTGTCATTTTTTTCAAAACAGTCTGGTTTCATCACAATTAAGCACTTACTCAGGGATATAAACAGCAGTCATATAAACACCAGATTCTTTTACAAACTTTTCTGTATCTTTTTTGTTCACATTTGAAACCACTCCATGCCGAACCACACTGTGTAAGCCACTTTGCTTCTTAAACTTTTCACATCAGTCTCAAAACTTGAGCCTGAATTTTCTTATGTAAATTTTGGTGCAAAAGCCTTGCTTTCTCACAAATGATAGTCTCCAAAATACTGTCACTGGCCAACTGCTTTTCATTGACCCAAATCAAGAGCAACTTTTCCACTTTTTTTAAGGTCTGCGATCTTTGCTTAGTGATCATAGCCACTCCTTTGGCAACATTAGCATTCTTTATTGCCTTCTTGTTCTTGAGAATGGTACAGATCAATGACTTTACTAAGATGAACTGTGATGCCAGATCTGAGACACAAACTCCATTTTCATGCTTCTGTATGATCTCCTTCTACACTTCTATTGTTATTTTCACTCTTTTCTTTGTGCCTTTAGACTTACACTAGCTTTCTTAGGTTCCCATGATGATTTATGGAATAAAAAGAAAAAACAGAAGAAATAATGCGCAAAGCAAGAAAAATGGCCAAAGTCAAAGAACAGTTTGTTGTGAAGTAATGCCATGCTGCCAGCTCCACACACAAATGGACAACCTCGAGCAAACTGTGTGACTAAAGATATGCAGTGCACCACTGCCTGAAGCATAGTACAGCAAATATAATGTGATTTACATTTTCTGTTTAACCTCAGTGACATCATTAATTTTGATTTCAATTTACTATGGTGTAAGTTTTACTTTGTTTCTAGCACTGTGGTTTATAATTTAATTTAAATTGAAAAAT